AGCTCCTTTTACATCGGAAAGCACTGGACAACATCATACTGCAAAGTGTAGTTACTTTGCGTTTTGTAGGACTAACGCGGCGGCGGCGGCCAAGTTGCAAGTAGCAACAACGCCACCTTCCCCGCCCCCCCCAAACGGCCAAACATGAGAGCAAACGGCCAGCTTTATCTGCGGGAACTCTTGGCCGGAACAACCCTTTGCCACTTAAAATACTTGTCAGAAGAGCAATGCCATCTGAACTTCTGTTTGAAACATCGGCATCCTCTCGACCACGACTGCAATACAAGCGAGCAGCCTGAAACGTCTCTCTCGAAACCAGGGTAAGGAGGTGAAAACTTACATCCTTTTATAATTATTATACTAATCCTTGCATTCGATACAGCGCCTTATCACGTCTTTGAGACAAGCGTTTTGTCTTGCCGGGGAATCGAACCCTTGTCCTCTCGCTTGTGAGGCAATTGCTCTAATCAATATGCTACAGGACTGCAATCCATAGGAAGGGTTACCGTTTCCTTAGATTAGAGTCAGTTTAACCCATTGCATTGAAGCCAGGGGGAATGGCACTGATTCAATTAAAATGCTGAGGGTTTTGATATCTGAGCGTTCAGCATACGTCAATATCTCCAAATAGTTGGATTGGTAGAAATGCCGTACTCTGTTTAATTGTTTTTTTTTCTTTCTTTGCTGAAAGTCATGCTGCCATTTTGAGAGCTCAGGGAACATCGAAATCGAGTGCGAAAGCACCTACCAGCAGAGCAATGCCCAACGCTCGGGCAAATGGGCTAAACTCACCGGCTCGCTCAAACGACAGGTAATTGTCTACTGAGAGCAAACAATTGGCGCCCTACACTACAGCAGGGCAAACCTGTAGGGTGACTGCCACAGTCATTCACAACTGCACCTCGACGCACACTGTCATGTCTAGTAACGTTCAGGTAGATTATAATAATTACATTTCATACAGCTCCTTTCACGTCAGGAGGATGTCTCAAAGCGCTACAAGGATATACTGTAAAATGCACGGACTGTTTATTGTAAGCGAACATGGCAGCTAATTTCAGCAGTTTCTCTGAATTCGGCGATTGATTTTTTTTTCTCTCTTTATCAGTGAGATGCAGAGAACGCCGCCAAGACCCGTCCCTTCAGCTGCCTCGGTGCACGGAGGACTGGTGAGTCTGTCCCGCAACAGAAGGCTCCGGTCTTCTCCATGTCCCTCATGCTCTCCGTTCCATTGGGCGACGTGTTTTCAGCCACTATGCCCCCGAAACTCTGGAAAGCTCTTCCTCTATCCCTCTGCCTTAATAATAATAATAATCTTTGCATTTGATATAACGCTTTTCACGTCTTCTAGAAATCTCAAAAGCGCTTCACAGAATATGCTGTAAAGTGAATTGACCGTATATTTGTGGGCGAAACGAGACAGCCAATTGCATGAAGCAGTGTCCCACAAATAGTCGTGGATTGAAAATTACCAAATTATTGTGTTTTTTTGGAAGGATTATTATTAGGCGTGTGGAGTAAGGAAACTTGCCCAAGATTTTGCCCTGCCTGGAATTGAACCCAGGCATCTCGCTTGCAAGGCGAGTGCTCTAACCGCTGAGCTACAGGACTCCAGCTACAGGAGGCCTTGCCCCCTCCTTCTCCATCTTCAGGTCACGCCTGAAGACCTTCCTATTCGACCGTGCCTACTATCACCTCCCCCAGTTCAGTATTGTGCTCAGCCATTGTCAAGTGCTTTGGGACGCTACTCTACATGTGGGGCACTATATAAATGCAAATTGTTGTGCTAGTGTAGTTCAGTCGTAACTCTTAACCAGGTGTCGCATCAACTTCATTGTAACCATATCTTAAGGTGGGTGAAAAATGTTGTGTAGTGCCTACAGACAGTCTCTAGACTTGACAGTAACTACCTATAGAGTTTTGAGGTGTTTTGCTGTAATAAAGTCTTGTATCAAATGAAAGGATTGCATGTTGTGTTATGGACTGACTGAATCAAAATCACTGAGCAGATTTGCAGATATCTTGGATTCCTATAATCCTTGTATTTGACACAGTGCCTTATCATGTCGTTGAAACGTTTCAAAGCGCTTCACAGAATGTATTGTAAAGTGGATTCACTGTGTATTTGTGAGTGAAACATGGCAGCCAGTTGCAACACAAACAGTTGTGGGGTTTTTTAGGGTTATTACTCCTAGTTGTACATTAATTTATTACTTTTGTGTCTGGGAAGAGTGCGTCACCAGAGCATGAGAGTGACTTTTAAAACTGTGCATTTGGAAGCTCGCTATAGACAATCCCTTATTCAGGAAATACACCGGGTGTCTCTAGCCCTTGGATACAACATATTTACATTTGTATAGCGCCTTTCATCTCAGGAGGATGTCCCAAGGCGCTTGGCGATCAGTGTTTCGGACCCGAGTTGGGATTGGGGAGGGTGGAGGGTAGGAGGAGGAAAAGGAGGGTGATCAAAGGCGTGGTTGAAGAGGAGGGTCTTGAAGGGGGCGAGGTGGAGGAATTGCGGGATGGAGTTCCAATGGGGGCAGAGTGGCAGAAGGCCTGACCGCCAATGATGGGTCGGGTGAGGCGGGGGATGTAAAGAGGCCGGAACCTGCTGAGCGGAGGGAGAAGCTGGTAGGTTAAGTAGGGCTTGGAAGTCGCAGAGGTAAGGGGGAGCAAGGCCACGGACACAATAGGACGAATAATGTTTTTTTTTAAAAAGACGATTTGCAAAAATCAATGTAACGTTGAATCTGTTGGATATAATTGAGTCCCCTTTGCGTTGGGTAATTGACTGAGTCAATTGAAGGCTGGACGCTTACTTTGCAGTGTGTATTTCTTGAGCTTGTGATGATGTGGAAAAGTCCTACCTACAAGGTTTCTGAGACATTGCATTTGGCCTCCAATGAGCTGGGCAATTGAAATTGAAGGAGTGAGACTATCACACACTGGGTTTGTGATGTAGAGGTAAAATGATACTTTGGTGTGTTTGCTCATGAGATCAGCGATCGGATTACTTCTCCATTTTTGGTTCTGGTTCTCGGTTGGTGAGGACAGAAGTATTTTTTTTTTTGTCTTGGAACTGTTCAGATTATTTCAACAGAAAACCCATTATATAAAAGTCTGCTGTGTAAACAGGACTGGCTGAGCTGTATCCAGCTGGGATAGGAAATGACTGGTCTGGATGCACAACTCCCTGGTCTGTAATTCACTGGAATGACTTGGTGTTGCAAGCTCGCTGGAGCAGTTTAGAAATGAGTCCATTGGGAAGAGTTGGCCAAAGTGAGGCTTGAATAACCTGTAAAGCCTTGCATTAAAAGACTGCAAATCCGAGAGAGCGCACCCAAAGATTGCTTCACCTCTTTCAGTTTGCACAAGCAAATGGCCTTTTTTTTTATGGGATGTCACCATTATTAACTAGCTGGTATGGCACTATGCTGGGAAATCACTAGTTTAAATGAATACTCGTTGGGTGGAAGGCAAGGCTGCTTCTGGCAAATTGCCATCTGAGTGTGCGGGAAAGGACATGTGCATTCTTAGGCTCATTTTGTACACCACGGACCGGGGATAAGGTCGTTGATCGGTGTGAAGATGAGGGATTGTGAGCACAGTAAATGTGTCTGGTTTATATCAAAAATATACAAATCAATGCCACAACACAACCCGGGAGCACAATGTGGTTTCAGTTCTCCAGTAATCGCTGGATGTATTCCTGCAAAGTCTTCTAATAATCTTTGCATTCTGACATCTTCTCCTTTATTGCATCTAAAACTGCATTTATTGGGCAATTGCGGTAGCTGTTTTTAAGGTCAGAAAAGTCCTGTAAACAGCCATGAGGTGAATGACCAGTTTTATCTGGAGGTTACTGGCCAGGCTGATAGGAAAAACTCCCCTCATTTCTCTTGTTCCATGTGAAAGACAACATCTCCTAAAGGTGGCAGTACTCTCTTTTCTCCCACCGACCATAAAAATTAATCACTCAATCCAAGACTGTTCGTGGGACACTGCTGTATGCAATTGGCTGCTGCGTTTTGCCCACAAAATATACAATCAATTCACTTTACATTGTATCCCGCAAAGCACTTTGAGATGTCTCGAGGACATGACTAGGCCTGTATCAAATGCAAGGACTTTTATTACTTGCATTGCTTGCGTGCAGTGGTCCTTAAGGATCTCCCTTTACTGATTTACAAATCTTTCTCTTAAGACGGAAGAGCAGGCACTGCAGAGAGCATTGGAGATGTCGCTGTCTGAATCCTCAAGAACATCACCTCCGTCTCTCAGGTACAGCTTTGAGCCCGAAGATTCCTTTTTCTGGTTTAACTTCTAGGTTCTCTTCCCCCTCTTTCCCCCCCCCCCCCAGATTTCTTCAAAACATTTGCCACGTCCTGTTTAGGTGGTGGGGGGTGGGAGGAGTGGAGTTGTTCGAAGTTCTATCCCTCCACTTGGCCAAGGAAACACAAGTCCATCTGTCTCTCTGCCCATAGAGCCACTCAGTTCCTGCCGGACACTAATGAAGTCCCCGTGGCCAGTGCTGCTTTGTTCTTTCAGCTGTGCCAGGCTTGCATGGAGATAAGTGATTGAAGAGTGACAGAGGTACTCAAATATCCTGCCTTCGAACGTGGGAGGTCCGCTTGCACTCAACACCAAATTACATCTGTATAATGCATTCAGCGCCTCTGCCCCCACACTCTGGAACTCTATCCCGCAATCCCTCCGTCTCACCCCCTTTCTTGCCTCCTTCAAGTCCCGTCTAAAGACTTTCTCCTTCGACAGCGCCTTCGGCCTCCCTCCCACCTCCACCCCACTGCCCTCCACTTCCCAATTCCCAGCTCAGTTCCAAGACTCCTGATTGTACGGTTCTCAGGGACGTCTTTTTGACGAAGGGTGTTCTACAACTTTAATTTGTAGTTGTTGACTTCCACATCGGGAGGACATTCCAAAGCCTTGGACAGTCAAGAATTTGCACTTGAACTGACGATTGGGATCAGGTGGGTGGGGAGGTGACTGACCAGTTTTACAGGGATTAGTCTCCTGTAAATTTTGTTGAGTGTCAGAGATCCTACAAACTGCCTGGAGCATTGACGGTAGCAATTTGCTCAACAGCTTTACAGAAGCCCATGTTTATATCGCGCCTTTTTGAGTAAAAATGCCTCGAAGGGCTTCTTGAAACGGAAATAATTTGAAATCAGTTGTTATGTAAGTGAACGCACCAACTAATCTCCAGGAGAAACATCCTGCAAACAATGTGATGAATAGGCAATGAATCACAATACATTAGTGTATTTAGGTGTGAGTGGATATCAGCCGGGACCACTGGGAGGCAGGAGTGTGTATCGTGTGTGTGTCCCTGCCTTTGGTGCAAAGGCAGGGAGATTTTGTTTAATGCCCGGAGGATTTCTGTATTCCAATTCAGAACAAATGTGCAAAATAAAATGCATAGGCTTATTAACCTGTTATGCATCAGAAATTCCAGCTCCCGTCCTGTGTTCTGTCTGTCCTCGGTCCTGTTACTTAGGATCGTATTTAGCATTCGACATCCTCTGAGCTGTTGGTTCTAATGCTAATATTCCCGTTTATAGTGTGTGTGTGTTTTGATCTGGGTTTTTCCTGTGTTTAGCCCTCAGGAACAGGAGGATTTGGCATTAGCCCAGGCCATCGCTGCCAGTGAGGAAGAATTCCGCAGACAAGCACAGCAGGTAATTGCAGTCTAAAGGAATGCACGGCAACTTTGCAGATATATACCCCTGTGAACAGCCGAGGTTGCTTTTGGGATTAAAGGATTCTTCCCCGAGGACCAATTTCAAAAGATTGTTTGCCAATTTTCCGGGATTTTTCTTAACCACTTTTATTGCAACTCTAAGCACTGAGGACATAATTGATGGAGCCGGTTCGAAGGAATTATTGAGCTCAACCGTTTATGGTAGCTGATTCAGATACAATAGTAAATGTGCGTTTCCTTCAATACTCTATTGACTATGTTAATGACTGCCTCCCAATGTTAATTCAGGTCTTTTACACAGTTGAGCTCAGTGGCTCCTTCCCCAGTTTGGCAATTATGTAATCGGCGCTCCCTGTTTCACCAAAATTAATCCCTTTTTTTTTAGAAACCGAGTATCTTAGCGTTAATTAAAAACTTGATTTTCGACCAGCCAAATATTAGAAAAAAAACATTGGTGGAAAGGCAGTGGGAAGTGGGGAATGTGAAGTTTGTGTGCTAGGCATGAAAGGATTCCCTGCTAAGCCGCCCCAGCTGTCTGTCACCGTGTCTGATAACTCTCCGACATCAATGAAATTCATTGAAGCATTAAATTAATACAATCAAAAAGTCTAGTTTGAATTTCAGATGATTTTCGAAGCAGCCGAAATGTAACTTTAAATTCTCCTCTCATTCGCTGTATATTATGGGGGATAATTGTAAGCTCGGGAGAGGGGGGGGCAGGAGGTGGTGGGGGGGAGAGGGAGTGTTAACAACACTGCATTGCATTGCCGGCACCTTACCACGCTTGCAGGATCTCTCGCAGGCAGCATTAAATGTTTGCTACCTGTCTGTGTTCTCGTCTCTCTCATTGAGTGATGTGGTTTTGCCAAGCCATGCACCACCACTGGTAAATTGGTGTCAGAATGTGCACATTCTTAAACGCCCCAAGTATATAGTTAATCTAAGGCCCAAGGATTGCTGTGCAATTTTTTGTGTCATCCATTTACAGTAGATAGCTCTTCTCCCTCTCCCCTTAAGTGCTGTGATTCAGTTAAATCTTTATTTTGCGGCAGTTTTTCTAACTCTGCTATGATTTTTGCTTTTTTACTTGCTTTCAAGTTGGTCAGTTTGCGTCATACAGGTTTTCCCAAGTTGGCTTCAACCCTGGACTTTACTAATGCTTCTTTGGAGCTGACCTTTCCCCCCCACCCCCCCTCCTCTCGCCCCTCCCAACCCCAAGCCCCCCTCGCCCCTGTGCTAGAATGGACCAAGGTAACACTGTCCATGAGTTAATGTGGTGTAAACCCCAGACCTGCTTCACTGCATGCCTAACAGCCAGCCAGATGCTAATCCAGTGACCCTGTGGTGGTGGGGGGAGAGGTGTTGAATCAGCTCACCCAGTCTTAGTGCACAACTGAGGTTAGAGAGTGAGGTAGTAACTGAGGATTGGGTAGTTAGCAAGTGGCATTTTGCAGTATTTCAGCTACAATACTGTAACTCTGCCTCTGTACTAAACATTTCTATGCTCTAAGGAATGCGTGTGATATCTTCTCAGGTTCACTGTGTTCATGGGCACTTTTTGTTTTGTGTGTTTCAGACACCGCAGCGAAACTCAAGGTCCCTGCCCTGTAAACTGTCCTGACCCTGGCATTGTGACGTTTTGCCGGTGCAAACCTCGGGAGTCCAGGTCCCCTGATGGACGAACGCAAACAGAACATAGACCGGGGCCACGGCAGCGGGCAGTTCTGAACATTGAGAGGGCGGCCGTGGGCTTCAATGAAATAACCTAACCCTCGGTTCACTCTGATTCTATGATTGTATGATTCTACTAATGGAATGTATATTCTCTGAACTCGTTCAATTCTTGTAAGTGGTTAAGAGGGCGACGCAACGGAGCAGGGAGCACAGTTAGCGGTATGCATGCTTGCAGTTATTGTATTTAATCATGATTATTTCTTTCAAAGTTTTGTCAGGATTTTAACCTGTATTTAAAAACTAACTTTCTGGGTTGACGTGACCAGCAATGGGCTTTGTGCAGGTGCGTCTCAGGTGATCTTGGGAGTTGGATAGACTCTGATGGCACTTTTCTTTGAGTGTTAGCAATTGATAAATATTACTTACTGTGCCTGAAAACTAGCACCACCTTGAAGCTTGCAGCCAGCGAACGTTGTCGGGTCTATTTCCTCAGTAAAGTTACGGATTAAATTGGTTTTGGTTTCTAAACACCGCCACATGTTTATCAAACGTCGGCTTTCGATTGAAAATTCAGGTTTTAAAGTTTCACTGGCTTGAAATCCAGTGTATGTATATATATATATATATATTAAAAAAAATCGACTATCAGTCGATTTTGGAGTTGCTTTGGGGTTAACCATCGTATCAAACGTAGCGATAACTTTTTTTCACATCCACTGCTGGCTTCATTTAAGGAGATTTGTGCTGAAACCTGCTTTGTTGAGTAAACTTGTCAGTTATCGCTTTTGCTTTGTAATGGCTGGTTTGCATTGCCGCCTGCCTATGCCTCGAGTCAGCCTTACCTTCAGAGAGTAGGAACAAGAGGAGGCCATTTAGCCTGCTCTGCACACACCCTTTGCCATTTCCCTTCATATTTTTATCCCCTGAGTATCCGTCTCGCAAGTGAATTCCTCAATCAATTTATCATCAGTGGATTTCTGGGGCAGTGCATTACAGATACGTCTAGAAACCACAGCATGTAGTCTCACCTCAAACGTGCGCCTGTTCACAGACGTGTCCGAGAAAGTACTGGAGGGAGCCCTACCCCAGAGGGCTAAATTAGATATGGTAAAAGAGAGGAGGGGAAAAAATTATTCCATGAAGTCTTTGTTCAGTTATGAACACTTAAAATTAAAGTTTTCTTCCTCCACACTGAAATCTACTTATGCAGGTTGCTGTTTACTGTGACATAATATGGAGCCGGTCATTACTGAGTAGCGAAAGATTCCGCAGGGCTGACAATACAAATTATTTGCCGGGACACAATGTGGCTGTAGAGATGATCACCAAACAACCAAAGAATCCCTGTCTGACATGAATCGCTCTTGGGTTTGAGTCTCACATTGGGGCTGACTCTCCAGTGTAGGAGCGGAGAGCGTTAGGGAAAGTGCTGTCTTTCGTACAAGAAGTCAAACTGAGTTCCCATCTGCCTGTTCAGGTAGCTGTTAAATGATCCTGTGAGACTTTTTTTGTGGGGGGGAAAAACAAGGTGAAACTTCTCCCACTGTCCTGGCCAACAATCCCCCCAGATACATTGGTCATTTACCCCATGGCTGATTGAGGGAGACCTTGCTACTATTAAGTGGCTACTGCTTTTGCCTACAAAACTATTCACTACACTTGTTAGTAAATTGCATGCAGAGTGCTTTGTGATGTTTTGACACATTATAATAGGGTAATACAGGAATGCAAGTTGCTCCACAACAAAGATTTAACAATTTGAAGGAGCTATTTTGAACTTGGATCCAATTTTTAAGTGCATGGTATAAGACCTACCTGCTAAACAGAGACCCAAGCTTTGAAAGGTTTTAAATAGTTCTTTGTACAACTTACAGGTCTTTGCATCTTTAAAACCCGCATCCCTTCCCTTTTAACGCAGTATAAAATGTTTTTATTATGCCATTCTACCTGTTCTGGGGACAGTGCAACAGATCTGTTGGGGTCTCTCTCACTCTGTTTCATGTACCTTTTGAATGAGCTTCTGCAATCACTACCTTATTTATTGAGTTGAAATCAGACTCCCATTCTGATTATGCTACACTTGTAATTTATTTGAAAGTTGAAATACAATTTTGCCATGATTACTCCAAAAGTTTGGTCTGTTTTATTGACTTTGTAATATCAATTATATTCCTTACAGTTTATATATAGCGCCTTATCACATTGTTGAGAAGTCTGAAAGCACTTCACAGAATATACTATAAAGCAGAGTGACTGTATTTTGTGGGTGAAATTATTATTATGGATTAGATTAGTCACTGAAACAGTTAATCCTTATGGATGGGTAACATTTTAATGTATCTATGTTTTGACTTATAGAATGTTTTTGCACATACTGTATAAAGGAGATGGAATTGGGCTCAGATTTCACTCCCTCTCTCATTGGGTCCATTGGGTAGCGATTGATGATGGAGCTGATTTCTGCCTTCCTGGGAACATGAGGCCTGTGGAACGTAACAGGATTAGTTTCATTGGGGGCTGCCCTTTCAGCCACAACGTCCTGAAACTCTGGAACACTCTTCCCCCAATCCCTCCACCTTGCCCCCTCCCCCCCCCTCACTCCCCACCTCCAAATCCCACCTAAAGCCTTTACTTTTTGATCGTGATTAAGGTCACCTCCCTCTCCCCCTGGCTCGGGGTCAAACTCCGCCACTGTCGAGCGCTCTGGGACGCTATCCTGCATGAGGGGAGTGCTATATAAATGCAAGTAGTTGTTTTTGGCATCCAATTGGAAGGCACAAATCCACATTGTTCAGCATATCGTGCCTTTAACGAGTCCCAAACCACTGAATTAGAGCCAGTGCTCTGAACAGGTGTGTAAGCACATGATAAAACTTAACACAGTGCTGGGTCCCATTGCAGGGGGCTTTAACTGGCAGTGAGATACCAGCAGTAATTGAACAGGGGGATTGCCGATATTAGAACTTGTGAAATGAAACTCGAGCAGCTTATAACATTGTCAAAAGCCTGCAGGATTCAGCCTCTGCCTTGTTTCAGCCAGTCATGTTTTATTCTTTTGTAATCTAGATGATGTAAGTACTTCTCGCTTGTTGGGGCTTTTTCCAGATAGAATTACTTAACCTTGTTGCCGAGGTGCTGCAGGGAGCCCAGAATCTGTCCTGAATGATGTAGCTGAAAGGTTGTCGCACGTAATTGTCAGCGATCCGTTCCCGCTCGCCTCTTGTTAATTCTGTAACCCAAAGCCCTGATGAGAGTGGCTGTAGCTGGACAAGCAACGGGAAGCTTGCCAGTGTTGGTAATGACCAGCTAGTTTAAGCACACCGGGATGCTATCCCGCGTGAAGGGTGCTATATAAATGTTCCCTCCCCTCACCATTTCCCTCTGCTCGGGTCCCGACCCAACTGTCCAGCGCCTTGGGACGTCCTCCCGACGTGAAAGGCGCTCTATAAATGCAATCTTGTTGTTGTTGTTTATATTGGTTAAACTCCAGCAGTTACTCCCAAGGCCGAGCCTCTGCTCTTGAGACAACGTACCCAAACTCTGGCATCAGGCGTGAAAGGTGTGACCCTCTAACCGACAAAGGTTAACCGTACCTTTGTGAAACTCAGTAATAAACAGAGCAGCAACTCTGCAGTTTTGAGCGTGGTGAGGGGTGGGGGTGGGGGGTGGTAGAGGTGTGTGGTTAAGGAAGAAAGAAGAAACCTTGATCGGAAAAAAATAAAGCTCCCAAGTTAAACAAATTCTACAAAGTGTGTTTATTGCCCACTTACTGCTCTCTGGGCCTCAAACAGAGTACCACAACTTCACTGTGTAACCAAAGAATTGCTGCTCTGATTATTTAGAATCAGTAGCCACCTCCTGAACAATAAACGCGACTCATTGGAATGAAATAAAATGAAAACTTTTGTTTCACTGGAATGAAAGGTGACACCAATGCTTTTAATATTCAGGGAGTGGGTAAAAGTACACTGCCACTCCAAGCAGACAGACTAGCCTTGCACTTTCAAATCTTTATCTTTGATCGAAAGTTGATTAAAGATTAATGTAAACTGGTCCCGGTGAAACAATGACTAGGTTGGTTACATAGTGTCACAGACTGAGAGAAGAATGATTTTAAGTAAGATGTTTTAACAGACTCGAAGGTAACTTGTTTGGGTCCCAGCCTTTGTGATACATACAATGTAAAGCTGGAGTGATTGTCCCTGTGGGATGCTCCCAAATTGTGGCCAGTACGTAATGGTGATTTTCAATAGTGATAGGATCAAGTTCGATAACAACTTTTAAGAGAGAAGTAGATAATTATTTGGGGAGGACAAGTTTGCAGGGCTGTGGGGAGAGAGCGGGGGAGTGGGATTGAGTTGGAAGCTCTTTTCAAAGAGCCGACACAGACACGATGGACCGAATGGCCTCCTTCTGTGCTATATGATTCTATGAAGGCCACAGAACAGGCTTTATGCACAAACAGATTGCTGGTGATGAGAAGAGACTTTGTGATATTATCTCATATTTTGCCCATCAGAAAATGGGCGACCTGAGATTTTTTAGATGGGATTTCAGTCTTAATTTTCTCACAAACTTATGTGACTGGGGGATGGGGTTGGAAACCGTATGTACCTCTTGTCAATGAGAGAAAAGGGAAATGCATAGAGACAGAGAAATGTCTTGTTAAGTGAATGTCAGACATATAATGCTGGCATTTGATCCTGTGCATATAATGCCAAAATATCATGGGTAATTGCTGTCAAAGGTAGTAACTGCATTCGCGAACAAACATGGTAGACAATTTACAACCAGCAAGGTCCCACAGGCTGCTCTGAAGTGAATGAATCGAGGATTGCTGAGCAGGACACTGGGAGAAAGGAGATGGTGAATGATATGGGGATGAAGAAACAAAGTGAGAGAGGGGGGGAGGGCGGCATTGTTGGGAGGAGAGGCGAGCAGTAGGTGGGAGACGAAGAATGAGGATACCGTGGAATGGGGTGGGGGGGATACGCAGAGATACAGTAACGGTGCACCCGGAGTGAAATGGCAGGAAGTGGGCGAGACAGAGAAGGTGATGTGAAACAATGCTATAAATGGTGGCTATGCAAATTGACTCAAGTGCAGATCAGGTTTCAGTGCTTTGGTGCAATTAGGCTCAAACTGCAGTCGCTTAATTGAGCACAAGATAATGGCACCCTACAGCTCCTGAGTGGGGCAGGAATGTCGATCTGAAGAGGTGTTGATGAATGTGTGAAAGCCAACGAGAGAAACACACAAGACACAGAGAGATGGGCACACAGGGCGGAGGGGGGAGGGGAGGCACGAGGAAAGAAATTAATGGGAGGAATGCAAATAGTATTGTGGATTCTGGGCGGGTGGGGGATGGGGACATTCATTTTTATGAAGAGGAAAAGATTTTTTTTTGGGTGGGGTGAGGGGTCAGCATACGTGTCAGTCTGACACGTATGGAAACCATCCCCATGCTTAAGAGCACCCAACGAGGAGAGGGGCGGAACAGATGTGTCCTAATTTTTGTTACGGAGCCATCGGGTGCAAGTAGTCATGTGACAAGAGCACCTGAGAGCATGGGTGATGAAGGCCCTTCAAGACCAGTTGATCTCATCTTTCCTAAATACCCACCCTGGAGGCTTCCTTCCCATCACAGCATCCAGCTGACTCCTCAATCAGTCCGTTGTCCTCTTTCAACCATCCTTCCTCGTATCCCTGTTCCAGTTGTTAAATGCCCTCTGCATAAGTGTCTATCCTGAAATTATTTATTATTACGAAATTGCCCTTCACACCCACTGTGAAGTGAGCCCCTTTGTCTATGTGAAAGTATCACTGTCGGCAGCCATGTTCTTTAATGCAAACAATATTTACTTTTTGATGGGCAATTAAAATAGTCTGCTGGACATGCCTTGATGTTTATTCAGTGCGGTTTATTAAAAAAAGTCATTCAATGCACGGCTGTTTGTGGGGACGCTGCTGGGCGCAATTGGCTCTTGCGTGTCGCCCACAAATTATGCAGTTAATTCACTTTACAGTGTATTCCGCAAATCGCTTTGAGGCGTCTCAAAGCCGTGATAAGGTGCTATATCAAATGCAAGGATTATTATTATTCTATATTAAATCCAGACACCTCTAGGCTTTCCACACAGGACTTCAGTTTTTGCTGATGCGGGGGTGGTGCGGTGAGGGGAATTTGTAGTTGGAACATCTGCACTTGAGGATCTGATTCGATTACCCTTTACGCATGATAACGGGTTTCCTCTGTGTGTGGTTAGACACCTTTGCTGACCAACGATAAAAAGAACTGGGTTAAAACTGAATCCCAAAGGGTGAAGGATTTCCAATGATTTTAACAAGGTGGGGGTGGGGTGGGGGGATGGGGGATGGAGATGTTCACTCTAAGCAGAGATAGCCTATGAGTTGCCTATCTCTGCTGCTCCTGTCGATTTAGGGTATCTCCTGATATCATTCAATGTTAGTTGCAACCCCTTTCTCATCCACTGGACGTCGCCCCGACACAGCCCTTCATCCATTGGAGACGAGTGGCAGAGACAGAGAGAGAGAGAGAGGACCAGACCCATTCTCTCCATCCCTCCCTCTCCCTCTGGTCGCTGTATCAATGGGACCTGTTCATGTTAATCTTACCAACAGCAACTTCCAACAGTTACAGTGGGAATTACCCCCATCTTTAAAGTCTCTGCCTTTAAACCCCCCCCAACCCCACCCTCCAACCCCAAGTATTTAAAAGCACTTTAGGGGGTCCCAATTAGAAGCGTTTATTGTTTGGTCAAAGAGAAAGAAGGACACAGATCTCCTGGAGGTGGTCACTGCTTCTCAATAAACAGTGCAGCGACTCGTGAAGTTGTGGTACTCCTCTCGAGGCTCAGAGATGCAGTAAAAAAAAGGCACTACACACACTTTGTCGAATGCGTTTAACTTGAGGTCTTATTTCTTTTTTTAATCTTATCTATCGAGATTTCGTCTTTCTCTTTTCTCTCTCTTTCTCTCCATCTTTCTCCTTTTCCTCCCTATTTCTCTCTTTCTCTCTCGTTTCTCTCTCTCTCTCTTACCTGAAACCCCCCAAAAAGGTGTGAAGTCATAACTAACTAATGATAGAGGGAATAATATTTTGCA